TATATGTGAGTATTACAGAGAAAATAAAACAACTTTTGTATCTAGTACCGATTTAGGGAAATTATCAAAAAAAACCTCTAAAAACAAACTTATTTATGCAGTTCAGATTTTAACCACAATTATGGCCCAAAATGAAAAAAAAGTATCAATAATAATAACTACTTCGTATGGAAAATTCAATAAAGGTCATTTTATGCCATATATATACGAAATCATTGACGTGTGAGTTCAACTCTCATCGGGCCAATTTTTTATATAAAATTATCTTTATCTCTCTATTTTTGGCAAAAAAAAAAACAAATTGACAATATTTTTGATTAAAATCGGTAAAGCTGTTTCAGAAACCCGCTTGAACGAACGTCGTGACACGGAATTTATATATATAAACATAATGTGTCATCACAATTTTTTGTCCCCAGAATGTCATAAAAAAAAAACTAAGGTAACAAACATAATATACAAAACAAGAGCATAAAAATTAAGACACTATTAGTAATAGTATCTAGTAGTGGCAATAATAGGTTGCTAATCCTTACATACTTATTAAAATAACAATTTTTTTTTTATACAACTTAGAATGGCAAACAAGCTGACGGCCCACCTGATGGAAAGTGGTAATCGTCGCCTATACATATGAGCAATACCATGGACATAACAGAGTATACTGTTTCGCCCATGATACCCTCCATGCGTTGCCATTCCTGGGGACTCAGGTGTTATTCCTCCGTATCCAGTAAATTCACGCCATATCCCACCCTTCAAACCCAAACACAGCCATGCAAACACAACTGCTTTACGGTTGAAACACGAATGGGACAGAGGTGCCCAAGCAATCGACTTTTGTACAAAGTCTCCCTCTGAAATTATCAATTAAATTCATACTTATATTATATATTATACTGTATGTATATGTGTACTGTTAGAGTGTCGTATAAACTCGATAGAAAGAGAAGAATTCATGTGCCATTTTCACCTCAACAAATAAATATTGATCTTAATCAATATATATATACCAATATCAATAGCTGTACCCAAATCAGATTTTTTTAAAATCTTTATAAATTATTAATGCTCATTGATTATTAATGATTATATAAATATATATATTGATTATTAATGATTATATAAATGAATTTGTTTCTTTTTTTTTTAATCTTAAGGACCTTCCTTAGGTATAACAGCATTATCGTACCTTGAACTGATTTATCAAATAAAATTATATGTACTTTCCGCATTCACGGAAAGAGAGAAATTAATGGGGCATCAATAATTTACAGAGATGAAAAAAAAATCTAATTTAGATTCAGCTAATATCTATTGAATAAGACCAACATTTATATTGGTAAAATCAAAATGGCATATAATATTTTTCTGATTTTATTAAGTTTATACAACACTTTAACAGTATATGTTTTGCACATCATTGATGCTATTATGCACTTGGAGTGACTAAGACTTTCCCATTTTGTGTTTGTTCCTGGCGCTATAATGGCTCATCCAATCATCATAAAATTTGACTTGTATTTGCAGTGTAGAAAGACATAGACTACTTTATATCTCGGGCAATCTACATAATTCAGGTCATACAGACAAAGTTGCGTAAAATACAAGCTTGTCGTCTAGTAAATGGGGTAAAGAGCCGTAGCAAGTATTGGAACAGAGATGAACTGGAATAATAATGTTTACTAATGTTATAAAACATGTTTGTTACCTTTTGGCTTCTTAACAGCTCAACAAATTGTTATAGATACAACTTTGTATACAGTTACACCCTAATTCATTAAAACGTCAGGCCTCTCATAAACCTATTTTAGCTATTGAACTGTTTTATATCTTTCTTTTACGCTACATATCAAAGAAATTAATTGAAAGAAAGTGACAAAAATGTTAAAATAAATTTATAGAAAGTTTTAGTTTTTATGAATAAATTTTAATGTTTGAAATTGGGAAGTTTATCTATAGGCTACTTGTTCTATCGGTCAAACAATATATGTCAGTCTTGCAGACGAAGTCGCAGCTAAAAGCTAGTTATAAATAATTAAATACTCTCAAGTACCAGTAGATTTCAAACCAATATAATTCCTAATAATACATTGGCATTATATTTTATAGGCGCAAATAAAATTATCATCTAATTACTGAGAAACTTAATAACCATTAGTACTGCTCAGTGATCCTTAATAAATCCTTTCAAATTCAACGGTAGAATTGGTTCTGTGCATTCTGCAACAGTTATTACATTCTAGAAATCTCAATCACTAACTAGTCTTTAACGGCGATTTTGTTTGCGCAACTAAGATATCTATTCGTATATATAATAGATGAACAGAGATAAAAAGTAATCAGACAGTTCTATATTTGTACGAAATTCTTCTCGTTTTGAAGCAAAATCTTCTAATCCATTTCTCATTCTAAATTCGAATATTTTAAATTTAATGAATCTATTCTATGTACGTTTCAATGTTTATCGATGCGTTATCTTCATTTAAATTAAGAATAGTGAGATGACTAGTATGGTGATAAAATAGTGAGAAAGTGTAGTGAGAAACATATAGAACTAGATTTTATGCGTGACTTCAGCCCCGTATAAAAGTAACCTTTCTTTCTTTGTCTCATATACATAGTATGTGTATATCAAATTTTATAATAATTAGTTAGTCTGTTAAGGTTCTATGAGATAACAAACAAACAAACACATTTTCATATTTATAAGGATAGTGAGATTACTACTATTAATTTTAACATAATTGCAGTTGCCATTTTTTATGGAGCAAAATCTTCTTGTTAAGAAGAATTTTAATTTACTTGCAAATTTTGTATGAATCAGAATCAAATTCATGACCTCACCCGTGCTCTCATAATTGCTAACATGTCAATAAATAACGAACGAAAGTGAATAGAATCAAGTGTATTAAGTGACTCCATAATTCGGCAAGGACACGGGTTGGTCGTTTTGTCGTGACGGCCGGTCGTGACGTCGGCACCCACATACAAACATACAAGCACGACAAGCCAGTTACGATTTTATAACTCGCAAGGAAGTCGGCGATCTCTCACGAAAACTGTGACGTAACACGAATGTGTTTTGAATTTAGAATCATAATGCAATTTTTTCATTGTTATGACTTTGAAACACTATCAAGTCGTTATAGTTAATTGATGCTCCACCGTGTAACTGGCGACACAAAATTCAATATAATTAAAACTATTTCTATGTACCGAACTTACTAAACATAGATACTTACTAAATACCAGAGGGAGACTTTGTACAAAAGTCGATTGCATGGGTACCTCTGTCCCATTCGTGTTTCAACCGTGAAGCAGTTGTGTTTGCATAGCTGTGTTTCGGTTTGAAGGGTGGGATATGGCGTAAATTTACAGGGTACAGAGGAATAACATCTGAGTCCTCAGGAATGGCAACGCAGGGGGGGGTATCATGATCGAAACAGTATACTCTGTTATGTTCATGGTACTGCTCATGTCTATAGGCGACGGTTACCACTTTCCATCAGGTGGGCCGTCAGCTTGTTTGCCATTCTAAGTTGTATAAAAAAAAAAAGATACAGATTGATTGTTTACCATGTACTCTCGGCTTAGAATGGGCCACCCCTTCCTCTCCCGCGAGTATCGTAAAAGACGACTAAAAAAACTTAAAGGTCGTAGGATGGGCAGCAGCTTTCCCATTTAAAACATCACCAAAAGCCTAACTGCTTTCCAACTCGTCTATCAAACTTGGCAACTACTGTCAAACCCCCCTTTATGGGGGAGGCCTATGTTCAGCAGTAGACAGTTAACGACTGATATGATATAATAATAAAAATATTAACTATTTTTAATCTGTTGTTCTAACCGTGGACAGAAATTAGGATTAATTAATATCTAAATATAATCAAAATTAATTAGTTGGCACCACAGCTTCCCTCTTGTTTTGCTGCTGAACAATTATGCTTGCATAGCTATTTATGATTTCACCTGTGAGACATGGCAATAAAATTACAGGGCATAAAGTGTTATTTCCAAGGAATGATAACGTATGAGAGCTAAAACGAAATTCACTGTGCATTCAGTGATACCAATAGTACTGTTGAAGTTTGTACGCCAGGATTACCACTTTTCATTAAGTGGGTCATTAACTAACTGCAAGAAAAAATAAACATCTGAGGCTTTTGGACTCAGATTTAGGCTACGGTAACCATATCATCTGATGATATACTATCGTTAGCTACATTTGTTATATAAAAAAAATACTGTTTATAAGAATTTCCTGACCTTGTATATTTTATTATATTATAATAGTCCTTTACATAATGTATAACGCGTTAACTGCACAATGTTTCTCAATAAACCTTTGCTACCGTGTCGGCCATGTTCGATCCTTCATGTGCGATCTTATCGTCTGGTGTCGGGTTGCGCGCGCGCATCCGACTACTTTATGACTGCCCATGTGCTTGTTTTACTTGATTTTCTGCTTAAATGTTGAATTGGGTGACAGAAATACTTTTTTTATAATATGATCTATGCGCATCCCATTTCTTTTGTTCTCCACTTCTTTTGTAGTGAGTAAAAATAATCCTGATTAGGTAGAAACTTACTAGTAACTGAGAGCATTGAGCAGTGCCTTATAAGTTATATATATTTATACATCTGTAAAGCAGTATAAAGTGAAATCAAAATCATTAGTGTCCTTTTAAAGGAGTATTATTATTTTGATTCTGGACAATTCCATAGAAAATTGTTCCTATTTTATGGCGGTAGAACCCTTGGGATGATGGTTACTTATATACGCGTTCTGCCTTGAATAGTACCATATTGAGATACTTTAGCGACCTATAAATTTTAACTATATGCACAACAATAAAAAGGGTCGGTGAAAGAAAGGATTGTTAATAGCGCAGACGATTCTATTACTCCCCAGAAAAAATATAGAAAAACCGAATTTCCTCTGACCCCATCAGGTATACCATAATAAATAATAATATATCATCATCATTTTGTTGCAGGTGCTCAAAGCAGACGGACGGCAATCGGTCTCGCTATGGAACTGTTTGAGCAGCATCAGGGCACACATATTCTCCAGGTAAAATATAGTCGGAATAGTGAAATTATAATTAACTATTAAAAGAACTTGTCTGTAAAGTGGTTCAACAGTAATTACATTTAGGTTAGTTTTCCGAAAAAGTACCTTTTTTTTATACAACTTAGAATGGCAAACAAGCTAACGGCCCACCTGATGGAAAGTGGTAACCGTCGCCTATAGACATGAAAAGTACCATGGACATAACAGAGTATACTGTTTCGCCCATGATACCCCCCATGCGTTGCCATTCCTGAGAACTCAGGTGTTATTTCTCTGTACCCAGTAAATTCACGCCATATCCTACCCTTCAAACCGAAACACAGTCATGCAAACACAACTGCTTCACGGTTGAAATACGAATGGGACAGAGGTACCCAAGCAATCGACTTTTGTACAAAGTCTCCCTGGTAAAATACCTAATTGTAGTACCCCTTCCTTTCCCGAGGGTTTCGTAAGAGATTACTAAGAAAATTTAATGGTAAAGTGATGGACAGCAGCATTTCTCTTAAAACATCAACAATGCCTTACTACAGTTGCAAACCGGCAAAACTCCGGGGGGGGGGGGGTCTATGATCAGTAATTGATAATTAAAAGCTGATATGATTATGATAAAGCTGGACGCTTCTGAGGACTCAGGTGTTATTCTTCTGTATTCTGTGAATTCACTGCCATATCCCACCCTTCAGACACAGCCATGCAAACACAACTGCTTTACAGTAAAAATACGAATGAGATGGAGGTACCCATGCAAATAACTTTCGTAGTCTTTTTTAGGTAAATTTCTTTTGAGGGATTTGAGATAGATTGACTATTTACATACTTGCAGATTGGATGATAAAATATCAAAATAAAAATCTTCTCAAAAAGCATGTAATATTTCGGTAATTCATTGGTACAGAACCCTTAGTATAAATAGTCGCTCGCGCTTATCGCACGTGACATCCGTTAATTGGCGTTAATAGCTTTGAAATATTAACAGAGTAATTGGCATTTAACTGCTAACACCTTAGTTTATAAAATAGCGTAAAATAATGACTCAGTTAACATTACCGTAAGGTATTTGTTTTTTTAAGGAGCTATTCATAAGTAAGCATAGACTGTGTCTGACTGTTGATAAATTTATTTTATTGTAGATCCAATTAAATTTATTCTTTATTAATGAAAACGTTAGACAAATATAGGTATATACAATATGAGATATGTTTATTGACCGGAATTAAAAGTAGTCTATGTCCTTCTTCATTCCTTGTAGCATTCACATGTATACCAAATTTTATGGTAAATTAAGCCATTAAATCGCTAAGAAACAAATAAACATACTTACTTTTACTTTTTTAATATTAATAGAGTTGTATTTAAAATATATACAAGTACGTAGGATTATAATTTGTTAATGATGATTCAAAAAAAAAAAATAATGAAAGAAATTATATTTGCTTAATTCCACTACGTTTGTGTATGACTGCCAACACTCGAAGATTGACCACCACTGTTATTACTAAAAGTTCTATAACCTTCCACTTCCACGCTCGTTTTACAAAACATACGTGAATAAAATATCAGTAAGAGATTGATGGCTAACATGGAAGGTTGTAGAACAACCAGTGATATGCAAAATAGTACCTAGTTCAGTAAAATAACAAAAGACTCAAGTAGCTTATCCAAAGCTCAAGCTTATTCAAAATTTAAAATTAATAATGGAAATGTAATAGACCAAACATTCATATCAAAATTAATATGAGACCAACACGGAAATAAATACAATCGATTGCCAAAACAATTATTAGAAACGGATCAAAACTTCTGAAGATATCGCGTAATAAATTGAAAGAAACTTTACAAAAGAACCTCTTTGTTTTTTACATTGCTAATATAACTATATATACAAAATCTATATGTCTGTTCTTAATCATGGTCGAACAAAAACGAACTAAAAAGTGCACACAAAGCGACGGTACACACTCGAACTTGACTTTGTATTACGCAATGATTTGGCCGAGTTAACGCTTTTTATCGGGCACTATACAATACCTACATACAATGAAATACTGCAACACACTACTTACATACCAAATAGATATAATTTGCGAAACACCAATTTGATATTTCACCGATTTCACTCAAATTTCATAACAGAATTAATCGAATACACACACTTTCTGGGCCACTCGGATAGGGTTGACGAAAAAAATCGATTATTCTATTCGATCACGTAAATTATCATTTTGTGCAATCGATTCACTGTCATTATAATGTTGTGGGTGCTGCGGTTTTCTATTCTGCGCACTGAAAATACTTGTGTACGTGATTCCTTGGATCGGTTTTTTTTAAGATTTTGCGGGACAAGTTGTACGTTTTGTTTGAAAAAAATAAGGACGTGCATGAAAGAACGCAAGTTCATTTATTCAAATATATATATAGGCATTTGAATAATTAAACGACTTTAAAAAGATTGAAATCCAAACCAATTTTAATAATTCCTTTGTAATCGATATACGGTTACCTTTCGTGATTTTATAAAATAGCTATTGAATTTATTGGCCAGTTGTAAAAAATTTTGAATATTAATAATTGTGTAATTACTTGTATAATATAAATGACTTTAATACCTTTTATTTTGTATATTTTGATATTTGATGTCAATCAATAAACTTCTATAATCGTTGTCAATAATCAGAAATTACTCATTTCATAACCATTCTGAAACATCTACTACCATTAGTAGATATTGGTATATCAATATTATATTTCTAAAATGTAAAATGTAATTCTTTACAAAAAGCGAGAATATTTTATTATCTAAGTATGACAATTTCGCAAATATAGTTGTATTTATGGACGAAGTTCATCTAATAAGTCAACCTCAAACAGTACAAAACTAGGTACACTTAGATTTTCAAATAAGTAAAACATAAAAATCCCATCTCATCATTCGCAGTCCATTACCGATATAATCTATGTTTTTATTCTTATTTTCAACTATCATCGTCCACCGTTTAAACGCAGATTTTATATAAAAAACTTTATTATCTCTCGAGATGTATTTTGTCAACCGTGCATCTCATTAAAATGAAAGATAGATACAATCTGGACATAGATTTTTACTAGAAGCGGTATAGGTTACCTATTAGAATATTCTATTTATTTATACAGTTATTAGTTATGTCCGCGACTTTATTCGAGTAACTCGATTGCTTGAACCGTTAAAGAATCAAAGGGTTGAAATTTACCGATTAATTATATTCCTTCCGCGGTATAATTGAGAACAAACTAAGTCTAGACAGCAGAGAGATGTGGACTAGAATCCCATCAAATCGAGACATTGGAAGATAATATCGAATTCTTTGGTTCCTCTAAAGACTTTATTTAGGGTGCTATTGTGCAATGAAATAGTTTACTCCCTAAGCTACATGTACGAGTAGCTTCTAAATATATTTTAATGTTATTGTTTTTTATAACTATGTTTGGCTGTGTAAGACTATGCACTATTTCCGAAAGTGCTCATTGGTGATATTTACTGGTTAAAGACATTAAATGATTCACAAATTAATGATAAGTAAATATATACATAAATTGAAATGGGAAGTATTATTATTCTAACTTAATTCAAATTATAATATATTTTTTTAATAATTTGTTGTATATGTACCTATATGCGTACATTTTTCACCTTAAAAAGATCATACAAACAAGAAACATCCTACGAAAGTAGCCTTATCATTAGGATAATCTTTTACAGAGTTTCGAGTTTAACTTTTGAGTGAAGAAAATGTATGTTTATTTATTCCATCAACTTTCTGTCGTCTTTGTAATTGAATCTTGCATTGTGACTTTATAAATGTTAACATGAAATTAAATTATTTTAATCTCAACCGCGATTTCTTCTTCTCATTTAAAATGTCTGAGCATTATATGTCTAAATCAATTATCTATTATATTTATTTGCAAAATTAAGGTGTGATAAACAGATATTAGTCTTAAAAATGACTGACTGATTTTATGTTTATTTATTAATTTTTTAAGCCTCTGTTGCTAATTTTCGTGGAAACGATCAATATACTAGTATAAAAGTATACGTAAATAAGTAAATTTTAATTGATTATTTATTATATCGGCGTCTCTTCCAGTTGCTTTATCATAAACGTACTTAGTCATTTTGGCTCGTGGTGGTTTTTTTCTTCATCGTCGTTCTATTTGTTTAGCTTTTTTACTGAATAGGTTCAGAATTGATGTTAGATTTCAGACTATTAGTTTTACCTTTAACGTACGGTGTACAAAATATTGTATATTTTTTTTTTATTTCATAAGCAACTTCAAATATAAAATTTATTTCTGTTTATTACGCTATATCTTCGCCATTCAATACAAATATAGATAATTATTTTTATAGCAAGCAAGCAAGTCAATGATCTACGCCCGTATTATCCTATACTAATTTCAGATTTTTTCAGATTGGAGTGCCTATTTTTATTGTGAAAAATCTTAAATTATTATAAATAAATATAAATACCAATATCACTAGGATTTAAAAATCCATTATCATCCTATCTTTATCACATTAATTTTCTTTTTAGTTATACTATATAACAATTTATTAGCTATATAAACAAATTACTCGTATGAGAAGAACGCCAGAGAAAGAAAGTTGTTATGCCTATATAAATAATTATTATTTATTATAGTAAGAAAATTATTTTAATTTATATAATAAATACTAGTATACGTATTTGTCAATGATAAATATTTTGACACCGTTCAACTGCTAACGTTACTTGCTGACTCATACGGCAATATAAGACATCGGCGCTTGCGCACTCCCCATAATAATGCTGATGCTTTGATAATTATGATTATTTAATGAACTTGCTCGGTTCAAAGTCTACTGCACGGTTACCTTTGTCCCATTCATGATTAGCTGTGTATGCATGGCTGTGTTTCTGATTAAAGATTAAAATAATATATGTATATGCCAATGTAGTATTCATGAGGAATATGGATATCGATCTGATATCTATATATTCGGTCCTTCTGGACATTGATGGCGGGATAAAGGTTTTAGTTTTTATAATTTTAGATCATGTTAAAAGTCTCTTGCCGCATCTTATTATTTGGATAACAAACTTTTAACACATTAGTTCCTAAACCAATATATAGATATTGTAAATAATATATATATATATATATATATATATATATATATATATATATATATATATATATATATATATATATATTGCAATATATTACCGACCCCTACAATATAGGTATATTAAAATAACTAAGATTTTTTATACAACTCAGAATGGCAAACAAGGTGACGACTCACCTGATGGAAAGTGGTAATCGTCGCCTATAGACATAAGCAGTACCATGGACATAACAGAGTATACTCTTTCGCTCATAATACCCCCCATGCGTTGCCATTCCTGAGGACTCAGGTGTTATTCCTCTGTACCCTGTAAATTCACGCAATATCCTACCCTTCAAACCAAAATACAGCCATGCAAACACAACTGCTTCACGGTGGAAACACGAATGGGACAGAGGTACCCAAGCAATCGACTTTTGTACAAAGTCTCCCTCTGGTAAAATACTCGTAGAAATATAAAAATATAAGTCCTCAATAATGGTATAATTAAGGGGTATCGTGGGAGTTAGTGTCAATAGTGCTGTTTATGTCTATTGACGACAGTTACCACTTTCCATGAGGTGTGACGTCAGCTTGTTTGCCATTGCGAGATGTATAAAAAACGATAGTTTGCTAGCTTGTTTACCATTTCAAATTGCGCAAAAAAGCCCGGTTTTTATATTGAATTGTTTGTTTGCAGTCTCTCGACGGGTTCGCGTTGTCAGTGGCGGCCGACGGGAGGTTCCTGTACATATCTGAAACTGTATCTATATATTTAGGATTATCACAAGTAAGTATTGAATTTGAGCTTAAGTTATAAAACATTTTATATCTACCTATTCAGTATTATCTTTTATACTACGACGATTTAAATCATAGCAAGAGTAATCTCACTATAGTGCCTAGATATAGCTTCAACACTTCAGTATGTTATTCTTAGGTACAAATAGATGTTCACCAATTTAAAGAAATAAGTGTTGAAGCATATATAAACATAAATCCTACCGAATAATCCTGATTAGAAAATTTTAATTGATCTAATCGGAAAGGACTTCCTTCTTAAAGTTTCTTAAAAATGTGTCACCTAAAATTTTTAAATTTTTGAATCTGCTATTATCATTATTTCAATAACTATTTATTATCTATATAGATATAAAATTTGGTTTCTCTGAAGAATAATAAATATCGACATTTATAAAAAAGTATATTTAAAAATACATCCTTAGATCACATTTCAATCCTGAAATCAAACTAGAGGTCTAGAGCTGTTAAAACAATTGGGCTTTTTTACAACTTTTTCGAGTACTGTAATCAAATGATAAGATTAACCGTAAATACTTCAAACAACTTGAAACGTCTTTACGTAGCAATTTGGTGAAAACCATTCGATTCCTCATTTAATGTTCCATACACATGACCCACATCATCAAGTACAAACTACATAAAAAGGGTTGATATCTATCAATGTTACTTCGCCATTTTCAGCCATATTGGAAAGAACTAAAGTAAATTTTTCTAATCAGTTTATACTTCGTTTCTTAAAATATGCCAAATGATACGACTTACTTGATAGTATATTATATAGGCGTCTAAAGTTATCTGAGATGAGGCTTAGTTCCTTTAACGATCTGTTTTCCCTTGTAACGAATTTGCCCTTAGAAAGTTAATTTCATCAATCTCGAAGTTTTTTTTTTATAAGTATAAAGCTTTAAAAGAGACTAGGTTATATAATAAAATCTTTCTTAAATCTTTTTGAGACAATGATAACAAAGACTGAAACTAATTGTTCAGACCTAATACAAAACAAGTTTTACATTAACTGACATAATACAATTTAACACCTACACAAAACTATTCCCATATCAACACATATGTAGATATATGCATCGTACAAACACACATTTATGAAGCACGCGCACACATTCACACGACACTGTACAGTCAGACGATTTAATCTGAAATTTTCGGCGGCGCTAGAAAGACATCCGGTGATAACTGCAGCAGATCACAGATAAGTCCTTTTACACGTGTCGCGTTATGCCTCCTACGTGGGTTGTTTTACATGAACATATCTATTTTTTGCTTCAACTTGATCTTAAAGGGTTTCTCAATTTCTTGGGAATATTATAACCCTTTATTTTAAATGTTTATATAACGTAGCTTTATAGTTTGTCACTTCCAGTCTTACAATGTTGTAAAGAAACTTCAAGAAATACTAATGAGGATATTACAATGCTAACGAGCAGAAATGTTTCAGGACGTAGGAATTTCATTACTACTACAAAATGAGATCTCATTAAAAATACAAACACGAGTTTTGGACTTGTATTATAATGTTGTAGACTATAAAGCGTATACACCGAAAAATAAATCCGCTTCAAAAGCTGACAGTGAAACCTCCAAAAAATATTTTCAACCAAACTAAATTAAATAACATTACGAAATTAAAAGGCGCTTTGAAAAGATCCGAAAACTGGGAAATTCTCATTTCCAACATGGCTGCAGGCTTTGGGGGTGGTGTGACGGAGACAGAAAATGGGGGGAAAGGGACGATGCGATATGCCGGTCACGTCCCGGGCGAGGCGCGCGCGTGCTTTTCATCCTAATGCGGCTGCGAACCTTACCACTCACACACCCCAAAATACGCACACAACTAACGTCAAATAACATCTAAACACCTTTCTGACACACACGGGCCCATAAGTCTTCTTCGCCGGCAAGCCTGTGTGTGTAGACATATAAAATACATAAACTTCCTGGTAAATAAGCGTAGATACAACTTTCTTATAAGTAAGGCCTGTGTTAGACGCTCCTGCTATATTAAATTCTGTTGCGGGCATTTTTTCGGGGTTCGCAGTAAAGACTGATGATAACGCCGACAATGGGAAATCATATTTTCCCTTTATAGATAAACGAAAGAAAATGGATACTTTATTTTTTGTTACAATACGCATTGCTCCGTTTAGAGAAATTATTAACGGACCATTTTTTATGTAAGTCTTCATTGAAGAGATCTGGGTTTCGGTATGCAGTATATGGCAGTAAAATTACAGAGTCAAAACACCTTAATTTCCATGATTGTCTTGTGCTATGGGTACCATGTACTTGTCTATAAATGACAGGCAATTCTACTTTCCGTCATATAGGCGATCAGCTTATTGCCATTCTACGTTGCGTAAAAAAACAATGTTGTCTTGATTACTTACTACGAATTCTAATGACTTTCAACACACCTAAATCTTTTCTGTACTCTTGTGTAAGCCTTACCTTTATTTATGACTATCTGTCACCACTTATGCAAATATTTGTCACCTGTCGACATCCTCGAATTTGTCAGCCATCAATCAGCGAATCAGTATATACCATAAAATGTCCTGGATGGTTCTTGGAAGAGACCACCATAACAACACCATTGTTCATAGTATTCACATTCCGTCGTTGACTGCGGATACACGTCGCTTGAATCTCTAATAGGGTCCCACAATTATATTTGATAAATTTATTTACAGATGCATTTGCATAAGCCGTGAAAGGGTCACTTAGAAAGCGGTGGACTTTGACAATGTTAGAATGTCTCAATAAACCTTGTGCATAATTATTTGTTTTTTATTTTTGTACAATTAAATTATGTTTTAATATAATGTCACCTAATATTATTTATTTACTTACCAACACTTAAAATGCTCTCTTGATTTCTTTTCTTTCTGATTAGTCTGTTTTTTTTTCAATCGTTTGAAAATTTATTATTATTAAAGATATTTCTGCAATATATATTATCAATGTATTCTAGTAAAATATTTGTGACGTTAAAAACTTAACCGTTATGTGTTATTTTAATAGTGTATTCTTCAATTTTGTCACCACAAGCCACGTACTCGTTACGTCCGAAGTTTATAGGTGTCTCTATGGAGCCACCTGCTATGCGATGCTTGATAACCGTCCGTTCATTCATAACGATGACAGTGTACGTGACAGCTCACTGAGTTGGCTGGACGGAGTCAACATCTTGTTGCAGGTCCGCTTTAAGATGTTTATGAATCTTATGTTAACATCAGTCATGTTTACAATTAGAGATAGATTTGGTAAGACGCGTTGCTTCACATAAATAAGATTCTGAGTTCGATTTTCAATTACGTCACTTTTGGATGTTGTCCATTCCGAATTTGTAAGGATGCAATCCTCATCCAATCCAAGCATATATTGCGTCTATACATAAAATATATATCATTCTTTGAAAACTTTACATTTCATGTTCCCCTGGTACTTAGTATTGATGAATCATGTGTAGTATATATATAATATTGAAATAAGGAGGCAACAAGAACTGTAAGAAGACATATAACCTTAATCTCAGGAATAGTAACCCTTGAAGTGTAGTAGCATGAGAATCACAATGTATTCTATGATGTTTTTCATGATTATAAGTGAGGGTTAATTCTTTTCATAAATATGCCGTTAGTTTGTTTACCTATATTAATTTAACCTATATTAAAGATTTATATTTGGTCGAAGTCTTTCTACAAACTCTTTGCTACTCTTTTATAACACATACGAGAACAACACAAAGTGTTTATTCTTATATGTATTATAGGGACCAGGGTACCAGAAATATGAGTCATTATGCGTCACCGAATACCTACTTACTGTTAGCTGAACTTTTTTGTGACTTTAATGATATTTATATCATTTCTGTACCTAAAGCCCCATCAGATGCTTACCTATGCTTTAAAATTCTAGATGATCACAAAATATATTCTGCTTGCCAGGTGGAGATGACGGGTAGTAGTATATTCGATTACGTGCACCAAGCTGATCACGCGGAAATCGCTGAACAACTGGGGCTCTCTTTAGCTGGAAGATCAGGAGGTGCTGGACTAAATAGTCCTGCGTCAGGCAGTGAAGAAGGTAGTCAACATGGCACTAATAACCCTGACGGTAAGTTTATTTAATCTTACTAATATAATTAAATTGTAACTAGATGTTGTCTGTACATTGAAGTAATTTGGGAATATTTAATATATGGGACCTGAATTCTTTTTATTCTTTTACTCTTGTAAAAGACAAAACAAGTTTTTTTAGAAATTTTGCCTGTACGTATATTTAATTCAGCGTCACGCAATAACTACTACACCAAATCGGATACAATTTTGAAAATTGTATTCCTAAAGTTCTAGATTAAAATTTGGTATATGCTTTATCTTGATACACCATTTAGAAGTCACTGCTTTATTGATTTCCTTATTTCTGATATATAAACAAAAAATTCATAATAATAGGCAATTACACTTAAATTTATCTCAAATGCATATATATAGGGTTATCAACCCTTTGTTGAAATATCGACAGGTTGGTGTTAGTGTTTTCATAAAATACACATTGTACTCCTTTTATCAAATGACAATTGTATTTTTTTTCAAATTAGGCACTTAATTAACATGTTATCGTCAAACCGATACTAACTATACGCTACTTACTGCTTTACTAAAACAGTCTTCGTAAAAAACGAGGCCTTTCTACTTAACGCTCCGTTATTCATTATTCGACATTTTTTAAAACATTCCGCTTAGAAAAAGACAACTGTCCCAATATTCTTTTATCAAGACGAGAGAAAAAACCAGTTCAGAATTCAATTAAAGTTTCCTTATTTTCTAGGCCGTTGCACCTCCTTCAATAGGTGACTATACCGATCCCAAAATTTCACAGCTATATCGAATCGCTTAATGTCACCAATAATAAGTTGTTGTACAAATTTAAATTTGATTATGGAGACTTCACGGCGCGTTGGGAACTTATGAAACGGTCAATGGGGTGTCGGTGGCCACCTTTATAAGCATTGATTAATATTTCATTTCACGGCGCGAACAGTACGGGAACTTATTAGGATCTTATTGAATATCTGGGCGCCACATCGCACCTAATCTCGATTTGGAAAATGAAAATTAACATTTCGGATGGCCACTGCTTCCGTAGACTGCGGGTGCTGGCTTCAATTAAATGGGCAGACAGACAAAAAAGTTATTCCGATATAATTTTACTGTCAAATAGCAGTTATTCATCGCTCCGGTGCACCCGAAGTTTTTATTATTGTGGTTTATAAGTTGCATAGCAAAACAACTATTAAACCACATGCTGTTTCAACAGTTTACGTGTGCATAATATTATTTGTATAGTGTTACGTAGACAAAATGTCGAAACTAGTACTTCATTAAGTAAATACCTACTCTAGAAAAAATTAAGTAAGTTATATAGAGACTAATAATGTAATGTGGATATCTCAGGTATTTTTTTATGGTACTTCGAATGGCAAACAAAACGCCTATAGACATGAACAAAGCTATGGATATCGCAGAATACACTATTATGTGTTATTATTTCTGAGGACTACACCTGCATGTCCTGTATTTTTACTACTTTATTTTAAATACGCAATCGGAACTTAACGCGATGGAAAAGGTTTTACAGGTAAATAGTATCTACATACCTGCTTCTTTATTGCCGACGATTAAAATTAACTACCATATATCAGCTTTCAACTTTCCCCTTTCTTTGCGTGATATAATCCAACATGACGATATATGCAGAAGAACTAAAGGAACCGGCATAGTCCAAAGAATAAGCAAGCTGAAGTGGCAACAAAGCTCGAAGAACCAATAAGCGATGGGGGAAAAAAGTTCTTTAGTGGCAACCCAGTACAAGGAAATGCAGTGTAGGCCGAACCCCTCCACAAGATGGAGTGACGGTCTTATTACATTAGAGGAGTCTGTGAATGTAAGTGATTCGGGATCGTTCCTTATGACAATCTATGGGAGAGACCTATGTTCATCAGTGGACGGTGATATGATCCTAAGACTATCTAAATTATTATGTTATGAATATTATTACAACTTAGTAACTATATTTTTTTATGCTACTTATAATGGCGAACAAGCTTACCTGATGGAAAGCGGTAACCGTCGCTTATAGACATGAACAGTATCATGGACATAACACAGTATACTATTTCGTCCACGATACCCTCCATGTTGCCATTCCGGAGGAGTAAGTTATTATACTTCTGTACCCTGTAAATTCACTGCCATATCCCACCCTTCAAACCGAAACACAATCATGCAAACACAACTGCTTCACAGTAGAAACACGAATGGGACCCTCTAGTACCTATAATTATATAACAATATTTTATTAATAGTAACTACACTAGCACGTATTTAAACACAACATTTCTTAGACATCTCATTTGACCGTGACAAAGTCAATCTGCTAATTTAAACCTAAAATGACTGTACAAAAAATCAATTCACTAACCGTGACAGAAGCAAATTTGACCCAGTTTTTTCCTAAACTAACGGATAAGTCCGATTTCAATTTACTAACATGAATAACTTAAGGGCTAGAATCAATTTTAATTTACTCGAGAGGTGTCTTAAAAAACTATTAAGTGGAAAAAAATCAATCAGGATGGAGGCTGTGTGACAGTGAGCCATTGTGCTCTGACGGGCGTGGTGAAACGAGCTCACAGAACAGTGGGCCGTGGAGAAAAGTCCACATTGTCCCCTTATAGCCATACGACTGGCTGAAATCCGAAAAAATCATCCGATTGATAGATAGCAGTGGCTTCTAAAGTAAATAAATTATTCAAAGCAAAATTAATATACAATTGTATATATAAGAGACTTCGAAAGAAAAAATGGTTTTTTTAATTTTAATCGTCTGTATTCAAATAGACTTCTTTACGATCATTTTTAAATCGTCATTTTTTATGAATTTACTGCGAGGTTCTGCAAGTTATCTGATGAGAAGAACCGGCAAGATACTCAACAGTTACTCTTTTAAATCTCTGTTAACGATATATATTTATTTAAATGTACTATGTCTAAAATTACATGGTCATTTGTGTACACCATTGTGTCAACACCATGCACATTTTTCATTCAAGTAATCGTTTAGCGTGTAATATACTTTGTTCAATAAGTACTTTTTTAATGACACTTTTAAATTTATAAAATATCATTCGGTGTCTTATTATAACATTTAATCCATATATCTTAATAAAAGATGTATTTTTTCTAAACGTTATTTCGCTAAGACTAGACGCAAAATATACTGCTTATACATATAAATATTATATTTTTCATAAAGTTCTAATCTTAGTAATGCATAGAACCATAAATTTAGTAGTATGTAGTACGGTATATTAAGTCTATAGCTCTATGCTATATGTTTTTAGAGTTTTTAAAAAGTAAAAACGGAATCATTAGGTCACTATTTTGTTGCTCATATGTCTATCTCTTGCAGTAACATAATTCTTCTTTATTGCGCATAAAATAGATTATTTGATAGTATTTAACTATTTGATGTATATCGTAGGATACAGAGTAACTATAAATAGATATCAAAATTGTTAGTATTAAAATATTTCAAATAACTATATTGTTAGTCAGTCAGTTACATATTTAGTACAAAGGCGTGATTCAACGCAAACGAACATTGTCCATGCAAATGGTAATTGTGCGGTTATCGTTGAATTATTTTCATTTAAAGTTATACACGCAGTGACATATTCATTGTCTAAAATATATAAAATTAGAAGAATAATGTCTTGGCGTTTAAATGGCTCTGGTATATGTATACTTTGTTTTTTATTATACCTACTTGGCAGATTGAGTAAACAATCTTAATATGTACTTACTTTATCGAATTTCATCGTTTTAAAATAAAACAATTAATATGTATGCAAAACAGATAACGAGAACCTTTTTATTTTATCTATTTGTTTGTTTTATTCACATTATTTTACAAAAAAGACATACTAAAATTATTTACTAAATCTAAGTAATAGATATACGAATCATCTACATATAAAAAAATCATACGTTTAAATTACCGTAGATAGGTAATTTACCATTTTTTATCTATTTTATTAACAAACAAACAATAATTTATTTGTTTTTCTGCAACTTTGAAGAATAGTTTTGAACCGTAAATAGAGATCTTCTTTTTGATAGAGAGCATTTTTCGCGATATACGATTTTACGAAAAGCTAACAAAAATTATATAAATATGAATAATTTTCGACTTAATCGCTCAACTGCTAGTTTCTATAAAATTCCAAAACTTCGATGAAAGTTTTGGAAGCACCATCAAATATTTCAAAACCATGGAGCGATCTGGGTAAAATCAATTAGAGCGTGGTAGCGTTCGATTCCCCCCGAAGCGTTAAGATCCGAACGCAAATCAAATCTTTTAATTAGCTACCTATCTATCACCAGATCGATCAGTCTATTGCCGTAAGCCAAACAAAACTTCGTATGAAGGAAATAAAGGGTATTAGGTACAGCATTTTGAGCGAATCATCTTTTTTTAAATCGCTGGAAATAAAATAAGGTACAATTTTTTATTCCAGAAAAGGGATCCTTGCAAATTTTATGGTTATTTTAATTTGATGTATTTGTCAACAGTCTCATCACAAATGAGTTTAGCAGCGAGTGGACAGTTGTACCGAGGAATGGACCGAGCTTTCTGCGTGCGAATGAAAAGTACTCTCACCAAACGTGGCTGCCACTTCAAATCCTCAGGATACAGGGTAAGGAAACCAGAAGAGAATATAGTGCTATAGTTATGTAATTAGTATAGTTTTAATAGGGAATTTTCTAAATTATAATACAGTATAACAAGTTTTAATATTACAGGTTCTATAACATTATTGAATATTCAATTCGCTTGAATTTCAATTTTATCCCAAACGATATTAATAAGTAGGTTTGTTAAGAGTTTCACTTGTAAGAGCTATATGGCACTTCCATACGTAGTGACTATGAAAATTTGTGGACATTTCACTTCTTATTTTACGTTTAGAATGAGAAAGAAATAAATGGACGCTGAATTTTCATTTTCAATCTAGGTTGGACGAAACAAGGAGGGTGAATCATCCAGATACGAAGAGAGTGGTAACTGGCGGGTGGGTATCATAAAGAGAAACAAAGTTATCAATAAGATGCCAAAGTTTTATTGTTGATAATTATGTATTACGACGTTTCTAGGGCTAAATGCCTTGCAGGCCCTTTGGGAGACGAAATTGGGGCATTAGGTCTCGCGTAGTCGACAACTATGTTGAACGTAGTTTATAATTAGCTTTTAATATCAAATAAGTAGCTTAAAACATATGTCATATATTTCTCAACTATATATGTGGCGTAGAAAATACTCTATTTTTTGTTTAATAGTGAAGAATATTTTGACATATAGGTAATATTTTATATTTGGCATATTTAGTAAACACTTTTGCCATGTCTTATTATTTTTATCAAATTTTTGAATACAAAATATAAATAAAAAAAATATATTAATATAAAATACTTATCAATTAATATACTTTTCTATTAATACCTTTTTTAAGCTTTTATTTTTTGTTAGTTTTGTGTGCTATTTTTTTTACCGGACCGGATGTTAAAATTAATTAATAATTGTTGCAAGTATAAAAACTAATTTTCAGATATATGAATGAATGAGTATACTTTATTTGCATTATACATTATAGGGAATAAGCAAAACAATTAACAAACACAACGATACAGTTGTATAAGTACAATAAGGCGGTCTTATTGCTGAAAGAAATGTTTTCAAGACAACCTACCGGAGTAACGAACTAATTGTTGGTGTCATTTTTTTTATCTAAGAAAATGCTGTTAAGTATATCGCTTATAAACTTAGAGCATATAACTTAAGTTGATATTCCATAATTTTAGGTATAAACGAGAAGATTAACCATTGAAAAATTCATTACTATTAATTACCAGAGGGAGACTGTACAAAAGTCGATTGCTTGGGTACCTCTGTCCCATTCGAGTTTCAACCGTGAAGCAGTTGTGTTTGCATGGCTGTGTTTCGGTTTGAAGGGTGGGATATGGCGTGAATTTACTGGGTACAGAGGAATAACACCTGAGTCCTCAGGAATGGCAACGCATGGGGGGTATCATGGGCGAAATAGTATACTCTGTTATGTCCATGGTACTACTCATGTCTATAGGCGACGATTACCATTTTCCATCAGGTGGGCCGTCAGCTTGTTTGCCATTCTAAGTTGTAAAAAAAATATTATTCGACAATTAAAATGTAAGAACTATAAGTAAATATAGTGTTTATGTACTCATAAAATATTATTGGTTAGAATTATGACATCGCTTGGGGTGCCTCAAGGCGCAAGCTATGGGCCCATAATTTTTGTCTTAACTCGGCGTTAGGCTATAAAACATGATTATATCTTCAGCGACTTACGAATAACGTAGGTACTAGCTACGTAAAATTGGTTGTAATAGATTATTTGCGGGGTGTAAATTTTATTTTTATTCCATGAACGTTAGCGAGCGACCTCAGAAGGGGAAATTTAGTAGAAGGCTTTTTATGAGTAATGTTACGCAACCTCTTTACCAATTATGAACGTATTTTAATAATTTCCTTTTTTAATCGAAAGGGTTAATAAATAAATAAAATTAGTAAAGATAATTAATGCGGTTAATATGAAAGCAAGCATGTAGGCTTCATGTTAATTTTGTCACAATGGAAATAACGACTTTCTGTCGTGGATCTTTTATTAAATTGCTCGGAATAATAAACAAACTTACGCCATCTAAAATAAAATGATAACCGCATATTTTTTTTTATATACAACTTAGAATGGCAACCTGATGGAAAGTGGTAACCGTCGCCTATAGACATGCGCAGTACCATGGACATAACAGAGTATACTGTTTCGCCCATGATACCACCCATGCGTTGTTATTCCTGAGGACTCAGGTGTTATTCCTCTGTACCCTGTAAATTCACGCCATATCCCACCCTTCAAACCGAAACACAGACATGCAAACACAACTACTTCACGGTAGAAACACGAATGGGACAGAGGTACCAAGCAATCGACTTTTGTACAAAGTCTCCCTCTGGTAAATACTTAATACTTAATTTTTTATAATACCTTTTTAGTAGTTATTGAATAACTCTATAATTTTATTTCTGATCTACTTATGTGTTATAAAAAAATGATATATGAGTAGCACGATGGGCGGCTTAATTAATCGCTAAAAGTCATCTCTATAATACAACCTTCACATCTCCATCCAATAAGAGAAATTATTAGTTATAAAGTGAGTGTTTGTTTGTTACCTTATAGCGCCTCAACGGCTTAATCAATCACTAAAATTCGGTACACACGTACTATATGAGATTAACAAGGATATAGGTTACTTTTTACTTCGATCAATAAACGTATCCCGGTTACGCGGACGAAGTCGCAGATAAAAGCTAGTATTCTATATAAATTTGAAAATTTATATGTACAATTAGAATTATCTTCATCTTAACGGCTCATCTAAATGGCACGAGATTCGATGTGGCAATTAGTACGCGCATTATTAGGTGTGCTACCCGTGAATACGCCGAAGGCAATGGTTTTATTGGCAAAATTTGAAATTAAACCATCACTCTTGTACCTGATCTTTACCGGATTACCTGTGTACACTACGTGCCTTTGGAAATTTGTCAGTAACAAATAAAGTTTGCGCTTTCAAAGTTTATCTTGCTTTATATGAAACACGTCTCGTATTTGCTCTTTCAGAGAACATATTTAAAAAGTTTTAACGAGATTTTTTTATTAGTATCTTTTTAACGTAGTGTTCGACGTTTATGTATTTTTTTATTAGATTTATTAAGTTCTACTCGTATCCTCATCTACATAATATGTAAAATCACGTCTTTTTCTTTCTATTATGTTTATGATTGTATGATATGTATATTATATAGGAGTGTTGCTGTTTGTACATAAAAATTTGTTTCTAAATTAAACAAATACAAAAAATATATGAAAGTAGGTGTAAAATATTGATATTTTTTATGACTACGTCTCTGTCACCTATAAACATGGACGCCATAGAATATATTGTAACACTATGATACCCCTCATGATTTGCCATTTCTATAAATAATGTTATGCCTTCTTACGCAGTAATTAAATAAAAAACATAATATTTGTTAGAAGGAAAAAATTCGGCGACTCTTTTTATGTCTTTTAATACTATTGTGAAGATTAATAAAGATTTATGTAAAATTTCAAGTTCTATTAATTTCAGTGCTATACACGTCAAGACTGAGTTCTTATATATATATACTTTGTATATGTTCTCTTGAAAGCCTTGTTAGTTAATTCCTCATGAATTTATCATGATGGACCAACGTGACCTAACCTCATCCTCGCCTACCATTTTCCTGGTACGCCACCAGCGTATCAAATAAACCAATACCAACAAACTGTTCCATTTTCATTAATAAACTCTTCCTTTTTTAAACTACTGGTGGTAAACAATCATACAATCCATCTGATGGTGAATGGAGTTATCGTAGCTTATGGTTGCTTGAATCACCAGAGAAGCCTCGTGCGCTTCTGTAAAAATATAAAAAAATTAGTGTAAAAAAATCTTCAATGCCTATCTCCTTCTTTCCAGGTGGTGCTTATGCTGTGTAGACTTCGACCACAATACTCATTCTCCCATAGTCGGAAGTCACCAACAGTACTACTGGGGATGGTGGCTCTGGCGATAGCATTACCACCGCCATCAGTTCACGAAATAAGACTGGAATCAGACATGTTCGTCACGAGGATCAACTTCGATTTCCGAATAGCGCACTGCGAACCCAGGTATTTGGATTTCATATCAGCATTTCTTCACAGCCATTTCAGGTTAAATTCACTTATAATATATGGTCAGCATCAAAACACGATGAACATTAACAGACTTCGAAAACTCATAAATGCTATAGTAGCTCTATAAGGCCTGCACCAGAATTGGATAAATTTCGTATAAAATTATAATTAGTTAAATATAATGAATAAGAACAATAATAATTTCCTTCAAAGTAAACTAAATACAAGCATTTTTGAATGGGATGGGCAAGAAACTCAATTGTTGCTTTTTTCAACGAAAGGTTTTACAGTTATAAATTTGTGTAAATACATATTACGTACAACACTAGTGTTATTTAATTTATTAGTCAGATCAAACTGAATAAAAATAAATTACTAATTATCTCTTTTTTTTAAGTCTGTAAAAATATATCCCATAAAACAACGATATGAAAACAGAATATTGAAATCAGAAAAGGGACTGAAGCCATAATTTGTATTTACAGTGTTGATTTCATATTATTGTAAGAGAGCATTCGAATATCAAGTGACATGAAAATTTCATAATATCAATAACTAATCTGTTTTCAAACTTACTTAAAAAATATTCTATCTGTTACTAAAGATATTTATCTTTAGTGTTTAGAATTAGTCTTAGTTATAAAATAAGTTGATGCATCGTATTATTTACTCTCAGCAGGGTATCAGAATTGCTCGGGTATACTGCGGAAGAGCTCACGGGAAAGAATCTCTACGCGCTCTGCCATGGGGAAGATGCCAACAAACTTAGGAAATGCCATGTAGATTGTGAGTATTAAAGTTAACTGTGCAATTTCAATTACTGTAGTTTAAATTATTAGTACTACAAATATTTATCAGATTAATTTTAAATTTTCGCGTTCGTTACACATATTTTAAATACACCATCGGAACTTAACGTGATGTAAAAGCCTTTATTTATAAATAGTACCTACATACCTGGCTCTTTATTGCCGACGTTTCGACGTGCACCACGTCGTCGTCACGACACGACTGTCCTGTCCTTCAGGCTTTTACATCGCGTTAAGCCCCGATTGTGTATTTATTAAGTTATTCAGTATCAAAAACTATGAAAGATTTGAAAAAAAAATACTGGCAGTTTTGAAATTATTACTACACATAATTGTATTTATGCAATTTAGAATGGCTGACAAACTGATAGCCCATCTAATGAAAAGTGGTATTCGTCGTCTATAGACTCGAACAGGACATGTATTTAAGATAGTTTTCATTCTACGCTATTACAAGAATATGTTGACATTTTTTTTAATATCAATTTAGAAAGTACTTCTTGTTTTATTCGTTTTGTCTCTGGAGCACTATAATTTAAACATAGAAGGTAGGTTTTATAATTATTATATGTCAGTAATTGGCCATTAGCCTTTTTTATAAAATGTATCTAAATGCCTAGATAGATACAAAACCGTAAAATAAATTTTATTCAAGTCATAAACTTCCATAATTCCTGCAGCGACTCAGCCATTATTTAATTATTCATCATGTAATATTGATATAAAAAAACTACAGCCATATCTGTAATTCCTTTTTTATTTAAACTCTTCTGTTAAAAATTATTTGTATCTAATTAAAATTTAATATTTAGAAATTGTTACACAATTTAAAATTTCTTACGGAATGCACTTAAACATTAAAAAATATATAAGTACCTATAACTATGCACGTTGCCTACTTACCAAAATAATCATGTGTGAATGAATCATTAACCTTGCACGCACAATCGATCTATAAAGGATCCGATGTAACGGCCACCCATGACCCAATATTATGTGGTGAAATCCTTCGGAGTTGTCGCAACAAGCGATTTGTATTCTATTTGTACCCTTTAGAAATCCATGTCAAGAGGACTGGCAGCTCAAGGCGTTACGAGGAAAATTTATGAGACCAGTGCGTTTTGTTTTCTGGGAAATTTCGTTTGCAATGTCCCGATGTAATTTTCTTTAGATGCTTTGTTTTATTCAATGGTGGGTGCCCACGATTGTTTATTCTGTACTCGGACAGAAAGCTCTCGTTTGAAGCTCGTTTTTAACCACCTGCTGTAAAATAGGTAATGTTTTTCACATTTTTTTTGCTAAATCATTGGTGATTTTGCATTATCTATAAGGCTATGACGACGGATACTAGTTTGATTCAACGCTAGTTCGATTATACTTTTACTAGAAATTTTAAGAAAAATGAGCAAGTACATATTAGAATCACTTAGATTATCGAAATATTTCTCTTTGAGAATATAAATCCTGATTTTTTTATTTATGATATTCGTCATTTATGAACACAATAAAAACATTATATATATATATAGTAAAAAAGAGATCGAAGCTTTTATTTCACTCTAACCAGTTGAAACGAATTCCCTCTTCAAGATAGTTCAGTTTGATCCTAATCCCCAGTATCAATCCTATATTTATTTTAGGTAGGCACTTTTCTTTGGTCATTAGTTTGTTAATAAATATATACATACTGGCTAAAATCATAACTCCCTTTTTACTTTGCCGTAGTCGGGTAAAAAGCTATACTTTTGTATATTTACTTATTACAATGTATAAATCTGACGCTATCTTCAGTATTTATTTTATTATCCTAATTATGTATTGACTATTGTTTGCCTGAAATAAATAAGATGTTGAATAGCTTTGCTACTTAAGCCTCATTGCAACAGTCTTCATATTATTTTATAAATCATTAATGAATATTATGTATATGGTAATTCAAACAAAGTAACATTGGCATACAAAGTTGGTAATATAACCCAATAACTATTTCCTCAGCCTAGACACCAAATTGGCAGAGGTATTAACATCTCAGTCACGTTGCACCTACCAGGTTAGGCATCGTAGACATCGAGAGGAAAATCCCTATTCAAATAATGTAATCTTACCATCATATACGTAAGATATTATTACTTTTCCACGCATTCGTCAGTCAAATACAATCCTGAGCTAACGCCATGCGGCTCCAGTGGGTTGTGATTTGAATAATAATTTTTATACCATCATTTCGGTTTCCTTTCTCTGCGCTTAGACGTGGGAAATGTCGTGTCTTTATGCCCTTTGAGATAGCATATTACATTTGGTTTGAGAATTTTTTCATCATTACTTATGTGGTTAGAGAAAAAAATGTTAGGATAAGATCGTTTATAGCCAGAAATATTGGAATTACTAAAACAGTTTTTTTTCGGCTCTACGAAGTTGTTTCCATAAGGAAACCACTACAATTTACTGCGTTTAGGTAAGAGGGCATATAATACGAGTATGTCAAACAAATCTTTAGTTGGTAAATATAATAATAAATAAATATATATCTTAAATCATATTTCACAAAATACATCTGCATATTTAAGTTCTCGTTCATTTTCGCTTTTCCCAATTTCTTCCACGTATATGGCTCTTGTTATTAATAAGGTATAATTATAGTATACAATAATTGAACTATTGTGATAATTATAAAATAAATATTTTTTTCTCAAGTATTCTCAGTCACAAACTTTTTTAAATGAAAGTATTTTTTATGGATCTACTGCCTTTTTCGGAATGTAATTTCAGTTAAGAAGAAAGGACAAGGAAGTCTATCGGTTTTTTCAAACAAAAGTTGTATTTATAAGTCAAAAATGATAATTGTCCATGAAAAGTTTGAATATGATTTGGAGACCCCAAAATCGATACAAATTCTAATTGTTTAAAAAAAATTCGCCGTTTCGTAGTCAATGTTCAGTAAGTCACATCAAATACAACAAAAACAGTCTAGAAACTGTATTCCGAAAATTTCTGGTTTTTTTTTTCTAAAGTTGACTAGGCGAGAATGCTAATCAGCATTAAATCCGCCTTTTGTTTTAGGTGGTACCCAATCACAAAGTTTTTTTTTTTACATAATTGTACGTTACGTTGTTTATAGCTAAAGAACACCAGATCCGTATTGTACAGCAATAAATATTATAATGTAGATGCGTACCTACTTGCAAAACTTTACCGCAATTCTATATTTAAATGTTACACAAATCTAATATAATAATAATAGACGTAAAACCTATGCTCAGTGTTTCTCTAAAGGAAAAATCCGAAATAAATACCTATATCAATGCACAAAATAAACTAACTGATGCGCAGACTGGTAATTGGGAATAAGCCAGACATATTGTCTATCGGATACAGACAATGATAAATAGTGCTAAAGAACCTTCCATTACAGACTTTGAATTGGAACTAGCAATGCAGACCAGCATTCGAATTGTCAGATGATGTCCTAATATAGCTAACCTGAACTAGAGAACTAGAATTCTTTTTCAAACAAGCTGACGACTCACCTGATGGAAAGTGGTAACCGTCACCTATAGACATGAGCAGTACCATGGACATAACAGAGTATAATGTTTCGCCCCGCCCATGGGGGGTCCATATATATATATATATATATATATGGACCCCCCATATATATTAATTTTCCATAGACTATAGTTGCATTATATTTCGAATCATAGAGTAGACCTTTGAAACGCCGTATCTAGTGCGAGATAGTCTCATCCAAGAGATTTATGTCCAGCAGTGGACAGACAGGTGTGTTGAAGGCAATTTTTTGAATATAAATATAATATGTATAAGCAAAGAGCTGCCGTCTGCTTAAAGTAACATTAAGTACTTAACCATAGGACCCTAACCTAACATCTCTTGCCAATATTCCTCCAATTCAGTCAATTTACCAGAGGGAGACTTTGTACAAAAGTCGATTGCTTGGGTACCTCTATCCCATTCGTGTTTCAACCGTGAAGCAGTTGTGTTTGCATGGCTGTATTTCGGTTTGAAGGGTAGGATATGGCGTGAATTTACTGGGTACAGAGGAATAACATCTGAGTCCTCAGGAATGGCAACGCATGGGGGGTATCATGGACGAAACAGTATACTCTGTTATGTCCATGGTACTGCTTGTGTCTATAGGCGACGGTTACCACTTTCCATCAGGTGGGCCGTCAGTTTGTTTGCCATTCTAAGTTGTATAAAAAAAGAATAATCAGGCGCGAAAATGTTACACAAATGTGCATCGACAGTATTACTTTTGCATTTACAATACCTGTTACCTATTATGGATTTATAAATCCCTCCATTCATACCACAAATGACGTAACTGCCGGCCAACCGAGCCATACATAACAAAACAAAATGGCTGACAAATTCCAATCACGATTTAATTTAAACGTCATACGGTTTTTCTCTAGCAATCCGCCGGTTGATAGCTTTACGAGACCATTAGTTTGCATTTAAAATGCTCAATGCCTATATAGATGCCGGTCAAATATGGACATTGTGGACGCGGAATAACAATTGTTTGTATTAACATAAAAGTCCGGGTGTTTTGTTAGAAAGCGGGTAATTTGGTTACAGCCTGATACGCGGTCCGGGTACATGATTAAATTATAGACGACATTTTTACCGTGGGCCATTTCAGTTTATTGTTATAATACTATATAAATATAAGGACTTCCGACTTAATAGTGTTTTAAATATGACCGACACGTGGTTTTGATTATTAATTGTTCAAGTTATATATTGTAATATACACTTTGCGAGCTGCATTCAAATAGGTACTTTCGTTTACCAAATATCTGTAACGTAATTATTCATTGCAACAAGAACAAGTATCTCCATATAAAAGTATACAGTATAGAATACATTAAACCTCCGCCTTTTTTTAGGTCGGTTAAAAAGTATATCAAATTGCGTGGAAATGGGCTTATAAGGTAGAGAACACTCAAATATACCAAATGTGATAAACCTACAGATAAATATATGTATTTCATAAAATAGACAATTTAAAAAATGCCTAATAGTAAATCTATAACCCTCTACTATAATAAAGTCCCGAATGTCCAAAGAAGTAAAAATTATCTGAAAAGACTAGAATTAGTTATAATAGTTATTCAAATCACATGATTCTTAAAATCGCAGAAATCAATATGTTTGTCTATTACCTAAGGCAGTGTTTTAGTTGTATCGCATGTCGTATCGCTTTTCGACCTCCCCCCCGGTGATCCCGAAGCTTCTATAGAAGGTTGTGAAGACAACCTCAGTAAAAAAACCAACGTTATAGTGATAGATTTATTAAGAATAATGATAATTAAAACACTCATACAAATTAATAAAAACCTATGCCTCGTCCATGCACACATAAAAAAAAATTACTTTACCCAAGAAAATAATTTTGCTTCTTTTTTTTTTTATTGTAAAATACATGAAAAAAAACAAAGGGTCGGGGGCCGCGAAATATTTGTTCATACTTTGGTTGTAGAGTCATGAAAAAGGTTAAAAACACTGACCTACAGTTTTACTCGTAATGTTACCTATATGTAAAGCTATCACATAAAAGATATGACCGCGTCTATTGTAGTTCAAATATTGAAAAACCAAAACATTTAATTTATATAGTTAATGTATATAGTTTTATAAATCGGTTTCACTTTTTGGCATCATTCCAAACGCATTTATAATTATTAATAAATGACAACAATAAACAATGCGAAAACAAAACCAAAAACCGTGTACGTCCTAATGATTCACGTAGCACAATACACGTGTTAGCACTTTGTCTTTTGTGTATGCGATATATTGAATATAATGATGGCTCTGATGTTTTATTACAAATACATCAGCCCATCGTATTTGTACGTATGTCATAGTAACCATTGTATTATTTGTATCCCTCGCAAGGTCACCGCAGCACCTTTTAAATATTTATTATAATAATATAATCAGGATAGTCGTAATCATTCGACCACGCCCGTGTGGTTTATGCATCTTTGCACGTTCTCTTTTTTAGTATATGATAACATCAACATGAAAAACTAGCCATGCAAATTTTTGGCCGGTCACGGTTGCAAAAATATGGCAGTTATGGTCTAACATTATTCAAATGAATAGCGAAGGACAGGGCTGCGGACTGTGCGTTATATAGGAGATAAGAAATATAGTGAACAATCATTTATCTCTAATAACATTAAAATGTTTTAACTCTGCATCCGCAAATCAGAGTTCCTATTGTGAGTAGGTATTACAAAGACTTACGTTACAATTGCGTTCATGTTTACATCAATAATTTGTATTGAATTTATGTAGCTGCGCCTCAATCGGGTTATTTCGGAGTTTCGAAGTACTACTCACGTAGTAAGGCGTAGTGCACTCTAATCCGGGTCCCATTGGATTTTTTTTATTATAATATTTAGTTACCAATACATTTCTGAATTTCACATTCTAGGTATAATAACAATTCTATATAGATATAATAGTACTTATGAAAAATCTTTTTGTTTCAGTAATGAACAAAGGACAAGTATTAACACACTACTACAGAATAATGAACAAGTTAGGTGGTTACACGTGGATGCAAACGTGTGCCACCGTCGTCTGCTCCTCCAAGAATGCTGAAGAGCAGAACATTATTTGCGTCAACTATGTCATCAGGTAGCAATGCATTTATATTATCATATAATTTTATATTGTCTAATAAATAAGACTTCACATGAAGGTTATGTGGACATTTTATTAGTATGGTAATTGATGAAATAAATACGATCATAATGAATAAGACATATGGGCCTATCAACCATATCTAAATACCTAGAAATACCTAATGCAAATTAAGTTAACATTAATAATTTAATGTTTATTTACAGTGGTCGTGAATATCCAAATACAGTAATGGATTGTTGTCAATTAGAAGAAAGTGTGCAAGGTGTGAAGCGAGAAGAAACGACCGGAGATCCCGAAAACGGTCCACCTGATACAGATAGTTCTGGGGCACCGCCCCCTCCACCCCGGCACCCTGCTGAGAGAACTGAACCACCAACAAACACTGACTCAGCATCTACAGCGCCAGTCCCTACATCTGATGTCACACATTTAACTAGACTGAACGATTCTCAACCGTTACCTCTCCACACTAACCCAGAAAGGACATCACCCATGCCAGCAAGAAGACTGAAAAAACGGAAACACACAACTGAGGAGGACGAAGAAAGAGACGAAGATAGACGAAAATCTTCTTCCAATCCTGGTGCAGCTATATCACCTGCTGAGCGGGATATGTCCAAAACAAATTTAGCAATTCCAGAGGGTACAACTGATGCAACCTCAGTTAGAGATTTAGAAAATGCAATGTCCAAACACTTACCATCGGTTGCTTTAGATGGTAAAGAAATATCGCATCGACCAACCGACTTCTCAACGGATGCCTTACTGAAACAGCAGCAACAAAAATCAACTATTCAATGGATAGGGACGCAGAATCACCATTTAAATCACTTGAATAGACAATTACCTGGTAATCACACTTCGACGCCAGCGTCAGCTTTACTAAGACAACTTTATGCAAATAGGGAAAGTGTTATTCGTAGTAACTTTTTGGGGGACGGTAGAACCGGCGGCTATTATTCCGGAGATGGTCAAACTGGGCCATTACCGACGCCACCTGGCAGCGAAGGTTCAGGATATGGGGAACAATTGGGGCATAAAGGTACAGATATAAGTTCATTAGCGTATGGAGGATACGCTGATTACCATTCAGCGATGACTCCCCCAGGTTCCGTTTCGCCTAGGGACAAACAGCAATATGCATTGTCTTACGATAACAGCGCTTATTCAGAGGCATTAAGACACTCCTATTTGGGAGAAGCGCCATTGCCTTTGAAACCACAAGCATATTCAGCTGTCCCAGGCGCGTTGGATTATGCATCTCCACTAGACCAGTCCCAATTCTTCCACCCGCCATCTTCATTCCACCTTTATCATCCCCAAGCGCACACTGCGCATGCGACACATTCTCACCAAAATGTAGATAAATCTATACCACCTAATACTAATTGGTATTCAGCAAGCTCATAGCCATGTACATTAAATTTGTGAAGTTAAATGATATCGAGAAGACCATTGACGTGGGATGTGTTCAATTGTTTGTTTCTAATATTTGTTCTATATTTGGGTTTTTAAACTGTTGTTATGTTTAGCATTTTTGTTATAGTTGAATTAACGTAACGTTCATTTTTATGAACTTCATCAGAAATTTTAGAATTATAATGGAAGCTCTCAAATTGGTTGTCTTATTTGATAATAAAGCAAAGTGTATACGGAAGAAAAAGACTAAACACTTTAATACTCACGAGGTTCAACTTTTAATAAACATGGCATTCAGGAATCTGATGTGCTTATGTTTTTGAAACCAATGAATATACTCTATGAATTAGCAATTATTGTGCCAAAACGGTGCTTATGGCCCTGACAAATGCATTTTTATTTAATTTAATACCGACCACGCAAACATTCCATATTTTAAATATGATTCTAATATGTCATAAAAGACAAATATATCCCTTATTTATATATCCAAAACAATTGTTCTAATATTTTAATTTACATTGTCATATTTAAAATAGAGTATTCTAGAGTAAGTATAAAAAAGTTTACAATTTTATTGCTCAATTTTCAATGTGGGGAGTCTTTGAGGTGAAATAGTTTGTCTGAGTATGAATTCATGTCTAAATGAGACAAATTCTATGATATCATTATTCTGAATTAATGAAAAAAAAAAAGGAACCTGCTTTATAAAGAAAGACTATCCTTATTATGTAGGATTTTTACTTATTTAATTGTTATGATCAAATGCAAAGTTATAATTTATTAATAGTGGTACATTGTTAATATGATTTAGCGAATAATATTATTAAAATATGACAAAGTAAATTATTTTGAGTAAAAGAAGTATTTGTGAGTGACCCCATGAGCTATTTATAGCTTATTGCATATCACTTTAAATTAAGCTTTTGTAAATTATTGTAACATAAATAGTACCACGACTGTATTTAGGTGATAGATATAAACCGTATTTCTGTAAATTGTAGTTAGTAAGTATTGTATATTATTTTATTATTGGAAATAAGATTTCACTGTACATAAGTATACAATTTACTAGATTTCTAGGTTTATTTAATTGTTTTATCATACAAAGTGAATTTAATTTTTCAATTAGATATGCTGTGGATAGGTATTCTGAATTCTTCATGCCTTAAACATTTTAGATTCCATTACAAATAATTTGTATACTACATTAATATCCCAGTAATACTACGGACTTACATAATTTACAAATGTATATAAAACATATACTCCGATATTTAACTTAGACTGTTATATTTTGTAAAACAAGTTTACGTTTAAATTTACAAATATTTCCTTTTATATTTTGTTACATGACAATTTATTTAAAAATATTTTAAATACTCAATTGGATGTTCATTTTATCTTATATGAAGCCAAATGCAATATTATTATTTTGTTTTGTATAAACGAATTGTAATTTTTATATTAAAACGATTAGATATTACATACAAATAATTAATTGGTAATATTTATGCTACATTATCTGTGCAATACGAGTGGAATGTTGTTCATTTCGATTTTATAAGCTTCGTTATCGTATCGTAAAATAAGATAATTATCATTAAAATTGTAATAAAATGTAATTATTATTAAATCGGAAATAAGCTTGTAATTCAATTGTCTGTTGTTTTCCAGTATTTTTCTTAAACTTCAGCTCCATGTATTATTTTTTTTTTTTTAGTTTGTATTATTGAACAAAAAACAAAGGAAAGTTTTATTTCTCTGAATAAATAATAATTTTCAATAATATTGTCTTTTTATTTTTAACACCACGTGTGGAAATGTAAAGAGGAGGCTACTGCCATGTAGAGAGAAACTAACTTTTGAAAAACATAGGTATATTACCTTTTGGACTCCAAACAAGAACACTAGCTGCATTCTATACCAAAGTTAACAAATATTTCACAATCGTACCTATAAGATCTTGGCATAAGTGTAATTTAATAATGTAATACCAGAGGGAGACTTTGTACAAGTCGATTGCTTGGGTACCTCTGTCCCATTCGTGTTTCAACCGTAAACGTGTAAAGCAGTTGTGTTTGCATGGCTGTGTTTCGGTTTGAAGGGTTGGTGGTGCAACACCATCACCAATAGTTGCCATGTTTGGGAAGCAGGTTGGCAACCGCAATTAGCTTTGATGATGTTTTAAGAGGGACGCTGTTGCCCATTCCTTGTCCATTAAGTTCCCTTAGTCGCCACTTACGACACCCACAGAAAAAGGGGTGGCTCATTCTATGCTGGGACCACACGGCCGATATAATAATAATTATTGCTTTATTTTTCTTCTAATCAATAATGCACCGCCTACTTATTTCTCGGTTTGCCCTATGGTTCACTGGTAGAGAATACCACCAGATGTTAAGTCCGCCAAATGTATATAGAATTTTAGTGTGCATTAAAATTTAAAGAAATAAATAAACTTATTCTTGATAAAAATATATCATATCCTATACATAAGTCATCTATGTTATTACATACAGTTTTCAGTATTCGATGTAAAAATTGTCACGGGACGGATTGGACTAGGTATATTCGACAAAAATTCAATATCAGTAAAAAGACATGAGTTATAAAAAAAGAACTAAATATATTTTAAAAATTATATCAATATACACATAACTTTATATAAGACACAGTCAATATATAAAACGATCATACAAAAAAATAAATAAATAAAAGAACATGATTAATCGAAATACAATATAAATCTCTATGTAAATTTCACTAAGTATAAAAATGCAACTTTACAAGATGGACGGAATATTTCAATAGTAATATATCTAATAAATATACATTTTAAAAATTGTTACAAAAGAGATTGCTTCAAATTGCATTACCTATCAAATAACAAATAAAATTAATGAAATTTAATTACATCTAAATGTTTACCTAGATACATTTAATTTTGAATAGTTAATGCTTACTTTAATCACTAGGTGGCGTCGTCTTTACTAAAATATTATTTTTAATGTGCATTAAGTAATTTTTTATTTTTTATTTTAAAAATACAGTGCAAGCGTACTGAAATATGGAACTGAATGTTTTTCGCAAAGAAACATAGATCGAATGACTACACTAATTTTGAGCGCCTCATTGTAACAGGGCGCCTTCAGCTATCATGTTAATAATGGAAGCCTAAAACCTGCAAAGTTTTACCCTCCTTGTACTTTATTTATATCAACATTAACATTTTAGAATTTTCTCTTAGTTCTTCTTAGCTTCTCTTTTTAGAGAAAAAAAAAGATCATGAATGAAACATTCAAAAAATATTTTTAATAGAATATTTTTTCGATCCCAAATGATGGATTAAAAAAAATAACCTTCAATCCATACGCGGATCAAGACTAGGGTTTCAGGTGAACTGGGACAATTGTTTTATCGCCTTTCGACTAGTGTTTCTTTGCGGAATAAATATGAACACTCCTTTAGTGGTATGCCAGTAATTTTGATTTCACTTGTATAGACTTTGATTAAAGCTAGAGAAATCAATTTTCTTTCAAATATGACAGACAATGCAAATTATGACACTCTTAACTCAATTCTATCGCATTACCATAATGTTTTAATTATAACTACGGTGGGTATCGAGATATCAAATCTATTTAGACGTCTGTCAAATGCATGCGCATTAAAAAAAAATAATACAGACAACTAGAGTAAAATGTAGATGCTAAAGGATTATATCATACATTATTCTAAACATACAAAATACCCGAGAACTAACATCTTGATGACTACAAAAGTCGGCTATCAATTTCTGACAAAACAATTTAAACTTTACTGCTTTTAATATACAGCATTATTTTAAATGTCGTATGCATATTCGTTTAACAAAAATAATTTTGTCTATGACATATTGCCTTTAGGAATGTAAAAAATCCTTCTACACTTATATTAACCTTAATCGAATGTTTATAAAAATCAATGCAACATCAAGTTCAATATATAAACCGAGTCGAAACTTTTTTTAGATGTTACAAAACTTTTTTTTTTTTTTTTTTTAATTTAGATAGTTTAGTAAGTAGTTGCAGCATACAAAACTAATTACAAAAAAAATCCACTATTAAAACCATTCATGGGAGATAATTTGAGATAGCAATTAGAAGTCTCTAATTAATTAAAAAAGTAAGTAATGGTAATTTTTACATAGTATTAAAATAAAATAAGAATTCGTTTAATAAAAATAGGTACCACTTATTAAATAGATGAATTACAACTACGAGATATTATTTGCAATAACTTGAGACAATTATAAAAAAAAATACTGTTATAAAAACATTTAATGAGATGGTCAAGCTTATTTATAAGTGTATTACTCTAACAACATTTACACACGACGGTTTATAAGATTGGCATTTCAGGTCGACCTACACGCGATCGATCTAGAAACCATCGCGATTTATTTCATTAACTCGAGAGAACCCGTTACAATAGGCTAACTGACGTGATTTAATCCTTAACATTTCATCACATTCTCATCATCTTAACATTTCAGCACTTTATATATTTCAGTCTAGATGATATATAATTAATTACAATATGGTCAAAACTAAAATCAGATCATATTAAGAACTGTATACATATCATTGACTATAAAATATGACTGTATAAGGAGACTCTGAAACCAAATGAACCTAACTTTTAACTGACAGTTTTTTTTTTTTTATGTAGACTTACCCTCTTATCACACGTCAAAGGTCTCATAAATCTATTTTAGTTATTAAACTGTTTTGTCCTTTTCTTTTGTGTTAAATTCTCAATTTGAAAGAAAGTGACAAAACCGTATAATAATTAAAATAGGTTTGTAGAAGGTTTTAAAAGGAGATACCCAGATATTGATACAAAACAGTATAAACTACTATTCAAGAAGTTTCTACAATCACACAAATAAAAAAGAAATTTAATACTACTTAATTATTGCTTAATAAATACATGACTGGAAGAACAAAACGTATTCAGTGCCATTTATATAGCAAATAACAAGAGAGCAAAAAAAAAACCAAATGATATTAGGTAATACAGCAAATGTCCGATATAGTAAAACAGTTAATATCATATATTTGCATTTTTTATAAATAATTTAAAAACAACAACAAGTTGTGAAGAGTATAAACTAAAGAAATGTTTCTTATTTGAATAAATCATCACCAACTGTTCTCAATACTGTTTTTAAATATGCATTTGACACAGAATAAAAAACAATTCCATGCTACATATATACACATAATATATAACTCAATATCAGCTAGTGGCATTCTAGGCACTTATTTTTCCAGCATAGATATGTATAAATTTACATTGTTAGGTACATGATAAGTTCATTTTACGTCATGTTTACTAAAACTACTTCACTACTAATATTCCACTAAGATTTCTATATTTGGTGATTGCATTTCCAAAATTATTTGATACTGAGAAAACACACACAGCCAGCAGTAGATCTGAAGAAAGAAAACAGTTTATTTTCATTAACATTATAAATGGATATTTTATGTGTATTAATAGCGACTTATAATGATTAAATGGCTTACTCAATCACTATGAAATTTAATACACATGTATTATATGAGATGGAGAAGGACGTAAGGAGACTTTGTACAAAAGTTGATTGCTTGGGTACCTCTGTCCATTCGTGTTTTAACCGTTAAGCTGTTGTGTTTGCATGGTGTTTCGGTTTGAAGGGTGGGATATAGGATATAAGGAATAACACCCGAGTCCTCATACTTTTATGGCCATGGTATTGCTCATGTCTATAGGCGACGTAAACAAATTCTAAGTTGTATAAAAAAAAACTATTTATACCGGAAATATATACTGGCCACGCGAACAAAGTCGTGGGTAAAATCCAGTCCTTTATAATATCTTATCTGTTGTGTGTCAACAATCCATTCAACATTATTAACAAATTACTAAACTGACTTAGATGGTAAACAGATTAATTGCCTGTTTTGGTAATAGTAATGGAAAAAACTTCCTGTATCGATTAAATTTATGAAGTTTGTAAATTGTTAATTAATCATATTTAAACACTCAACCGATTTTAATAAAATTTGATAAATGACTAGGTTATATATTAACTAAAATAAAATGATATTATATAATTGGCAACCAATGTGACTCAAAAGTAAAAACATTGCTTTACAACCTGACCTCTTTAGGTTCCGAGTTCGATTCTCAGTCGAGAGCTAATTTAGAAAAGGAATTTTTCTATATTGCTTCAGGTTTAGGTGTGCTGGATTGTGCACCTAGATATCGCCTGGTTCCTTATTACACAGGAAATAAATACTCTAGGAACGAGTGATTAATCCAATTATGTGACACTTATATTATTTTTAATGATGTATACGGGCAAAGACATGGGAAATGTTTAGTAAATAAAAATAATAGATTGTTAATGAGGAATTAATATAAATACTAACATTATATGCCATCCACACGAAATCTATAAGTGCAGCAAACGTGGCATCCAACTGAAAAAAAATTGTAAAACAGCTCTCATTAGATTATCATAAATATATATATATATATATATATATATATATATATATATATATATATATATATATATATATATATATATATATATATACAAATTTATCTACAAAAATTTTGAAGACTGACTGACCCATATATCAATACACAGCCGAAACCATTGTATCTAGGATCTTGAAACTTTGCAGATCTATAAAGCGTAAATGGACAATATTTTGAAAATTCAACCTCTAAGAAGATAAAACAGGGTTGGAAAATTTGTATGGAATTGCATAAGTTTAAAAGTTACGAGTAAATACGTGAAATTTTAGATTTGGGCTCTCTTAAGACGAAATTTTAAACTTAGTGCCATTATCATCTTTTCTTAACAAAATTAAGAAAAATATAAAGTATTTGCAATATAAACAAACTTCATGCAGACAAAGAACCATTTAACTATCACACCTACAGCCTTTCTTTACTTACAAAAGATAATCTGAACAGTGCATCAACTAATCAGTTATTGTAATTTAATTACAAGTATTTGTAAAGATTCTTCACTATTAAATTTTAACTTCACTATTATATGTCAACTATAACTGCAACATAAATTGCAACATAACTGCTTGTTTATATAGTTCTATAGAACTTTAAAAAAAATTATCAATTTTAAATTCACATAAATAATAAATATAATAATATATAATTTACTTACATAAATGTAGTATCCACCAAGAAGCCACAAACCAAATATAAGTTGAAATGATATAATCAGGCCCATGATGATCATCCATGGCAACATCATACCTCGCATCCATATATTTATTCCAATCACCTGAAATTGAGAATATTTTTTTTAATAGAATAGAAATAATCTTTATTGAAATAGAAAACCAGAGAGAAACTTTGTACAATAGCAATTTGCTTGAGTATCTCTGTACAATTCATGTTTCAACCATGAATCAGTTGTATTTGCATGGTTGTTTCAATTCAAAAGATGGGATATGGCAGTGAATTTACAGAGTACAGAGGAATAACACCTTATTCCTAGGAATAGCAATGCATGGGGGGTATCATGGGCGAAAGAGTACACAGTTATGTCCATGGTACTGCTTATGTTTATAGGTGATGGTTACCACTTTCCATCAGGTGGACTATCAGCTTGTTTGTCATATTAAGTTGCATAAAAAAAAGAGACTACAAAATCTATATTTTATGTAGTCCTTTTTTATAACTCTACAGCTGGGTTCAGAATGTTGTTATCTATTGAGAAATATCCACAAGAAAATCGACATTTACTGAATAATTTATTCAGATTTTCATCCCAACAATCACTTTCCTAGGTAATAAATCATTTCAAGTATAAGTCATATCAAGAGGTAATGAGACTTGCCAAGTTATTATGAGGCAAGAGCTCCACTGACAAGAATACAGCTCTTAAATAAAGATCATAGAGTGGTTAATCAGTAACCAAATAAATTTATTTGGCTTCAATAAGTATGTATAAATGTAATAATAACCAATAATAAGTCTACTTGCCTTTAACTATTTAAACTTTTATTATAAAGAAAAAAATAAGTAATTAAAATTAAATAAAAATAATTAAAAAAAATAGTAGATAATACAGTATTAAGCCAATAATTAATATATAATTATGTCTTGAATCACAATCATATAAATAAAGTTGCCCTCTTTTCCAAGGAACTCAATATTCAACTAAACAAAATACTCAAAAATGCAATAATATAAATTACATGGAGTCTTTTCTAATCCTGACATTGGCAGTAAATCAATGTTGTTTTTATGGTGGAAGCCATATAAAAAAAAGCTATGAAGAAGTCATACTGAATTTTGACAAGTGAATTTTAAAATATTATATATTTCTACCATTCACTTTAATAAAATGTAATATTTAAACTAATATTGTGAAAATGAGTTTGTTTGTTACCTTATAGTGCTTTAACAGCTTAATCAATCACTGTGAAATTTAGTATATACAAACTATATGTGATAAAAATGGATATACTTTTTATATATACTGACCAGGACAGTAAACATATCCCTGACATGTGGACAAAGTCATGGGTAAAAGTGTATAATTATCTATACTTATAATAAATCTGTAGAGAGGTCAATTCTGTACATGAAATATATTTCCAAAATAACTATCAGGGGGTGATTAATGATCGATACTGATGCCAAAAATGCAATCAGTAAAATTTTTGTCTGCCTGTCTGTGTGTTTGTTATAGAAACAAAAACTACTTGACAGATTTTAACGAAAGTTGGTACAATTATTCTTATACTATAACCTGCCCAGGAATATGTTCCTGGGCAAGTTATAGTATACTTTTCATCACGCTACAATCAATTGGAGCTGAGCAGTGAAGGAAAATGTGTTTTTTTACATCAAAACCACTGAACCGTGAGGAAGGACATAGGCTACTTATTTTATGAAAAACGATGGATATGCAAACTAAGTCGCGGGTAATAGCTAGTCTATATTTATTTTTATTTGTAAATTTATTTTGTTAGACCCAATTCACCACCAATTACTCTATTTAGGGTTATGATTGACTGGTATAGTATTCCATCAAGCATTAAGCCCTTCCTGTAGACATATTTTACTGTATGCAAAAGTATAAATAAATAAAAGCTATACATAAATAGATACTTATTATCTAAATATATTGTAACTTACCATCAGAACCGAAGACACAATAAATGCCACAAATATAATAATGAAAATTATCCCAAATATTTGAAGTGCTGAAATTAAAGAGAATTTATATTATTAATATCATGTTGGCTGTACTTGTAATATAGGCTTAAGACAATTGTTACAGGGAAGAGATCATCTATGTCAAGCATAGAAATGAATAAATAAATCACATAAGTAACATTTTTTTTTGTATTCAACTTAGAATGGCAAACAAGCTGATGGCCCACCTGATGGAAAGTGGTAACCGTCGCCTATAGACATAAGCAGTACCATGGACATAACAGAGTATACTGTTTCACCCATGATACCCCCCATGCATTGCCATTCCTGAGGACTCAGGTGTTATTCCTCCGTACCCAGTAAATTCACGCCATATCCTACCCTTCAAACTGAAACACAGCCATGCAAACACAACTGCTTTACGGTTGAAACACGAATGGGACAGAAGTACCCAAGCAATCGACTTTTGTACAAAGTCTCCTCTGGTAAAAACATCCAAAAATAACACAGTATAAATCATTAAAAGTATTATACTACTGTCTTAACCTGAAAAATAAGGCAGGAGGATTGTTAATAAGGTTTACAAGCTGTAGTTTTATCAATATACACAGTCAGGTTGACCTCCAGACAATACTCTCTAAAAAGATTCTTTCTTGATGAATTTGTTATAACGAACCAATATATTCATCAGCATCATTTATTGATACCCCACTAATAGATAAACTTACTATTTCCGCTGTAAAGAAAAACTGAAATAACAATACTACTATTTGTATTGCCTAGACTGTAACATAGGACTGTAGTTTTATAGGTTAATTTACAATACAAAACTGAAAATCCAGTTAAAACTTACATTCTCTAACATCGGCTTCAAATAATGGATTCCATAGCTGCGTGGAGTCTCCTCCATCCATCTGGTAAGCTATAAACGTAATGAGAATGACACTCATAGCGGCGGTGTAGACTGCCACTGCGCGACTGCCCGTCTTCACATCGGAAGACCAGATACATGGTGACCAACAAGATTCCAATAAAGGCATCTTTGTGACTTAATTTCAAATTACTGTAGTATCTGTAAATGAATACTTCTATATATTATGCCTAAAAATAACAGCCACACCTAAATTTTTGGGAAGTATTATTAATTAAATTTTAAATTAAATCTTAGCATTGAGAATATACTGAACACTTCTCGTACAAAATAACGATTGTCAATCATATTTAAAAAATAATAAACATAAAATAAATGTAAAAAATACCAAAATTCAAGAAGACGTTATTTTGTTGTACCAACTCTGTTTGAGTAGGTAATTATGACATTGACAAGACAGATAGGCTGAGTCGTTTGACAACTGTTTGAACTAAATTTTTATTGCCAGCATTGCGTTGTCTTTACTTAGATAAATTATAGTAATTTACCTGAGGAGATCTTTACAAACAAATTCATGTAGACAAATTCCAAAAAAATCTTTTTTGTAAAATATTTATATAAATATATTATATAAAAATTTATCAACTTTAGTTTGCCATCTATCATGAAATAGAGTAACAAATAGCTACTCCATTCCGCTACCGCTATTCATATACAGATGTCACTATAAATCAAATGATTTGTTCCGAATGTTGTTTTTAAACAAATAATTGTGTATTATAGATATATAATTACTTATAAAATTGTCTTTAAAAGATTGCTTTCAGCAATAGAACCGCTTTATTTTACTAATACGAGCGGGGGTAGGGATTGTTAATAATGGGGACTAACGACTCCATTGTTGACAATATACCCTATCAAGTCGACCACCATTCAGTTCTCCCTGGAAACCATCATAGTTAATTTTTACTGAAACTAATGTCTAATTGGACTAGTCTAGTTTGTCTAATTAGACTACTATAGGTAATGTCGCATTACTAACAATCCCTACCCCCCCCCCCCCCCTCCTTCCTACCCTTATCCCAACTAATTATTGGGGGACGGCCTAATTATTATTATAGCCATTATACTTTTTTCGCAGTCATTTTCCGATTTACCCCTTTTCTGACCATATCAGCTTTAACACAGTTCATCCATGCCAATTATACTTTCTTAAAATAATAAATATCATAATTAAAGTTATTAATTATTATTTACTGCTGAATATAGACACTTCACATTTCCTATAATTTACAATATGAAACCTGAGGCAATACTTGCATCCACTTATTGCAACGTACTATCTGTGCGTTATCAACGAGAAATAATTTTAGCAATAATGACACGAGTATAGGCCACGTGTACGAATATCAGAATCTTGCGAGTGTCGACACAGCAACGTGATTATGCAGTCGCATTGCACTGTTTTTAGGGTTCTGTACCAAAAAGATACAAAGAACCCTTATGGTGCGTGTTTATCCGTCTGTCTGTCGGTCACAGCGTTATATCTTAGCAACTACTAATGTTATTGATTTTAAATTTGGAATAATTTTACATCTCGTGGACCCGCACATATTGCAATGGAAATAACACTTACTAGTATTATAAATGTGAAAGAGAATTTGCTTGTTGGTTGATTACCTTATAGCGCCTTAACGACTTAACCAATCAGTATGAATTTTAGTAAACACATCTAGATTGGGTAGAGAAAGCTACTTTTTATTCTGATCAGTGAACATATTCAGATCGTGCGGACGAAATCACGGATAAAAGGTAGAAAAATATTTTTAATTTCTATGCTAGGGTGTCCCAAACGAATACTCAGAATTCCAAAATTAACTTACTAGTCTAAGTAGGATATAAAAGGGCTTCATTTTTATAGTTTATACTGAATTTTATATATTTTTTTGCTATGTAATTTTTTTTATTTATTACTGAAAATTAATATCTAAAAAATTGGACGAAAATAACAAAAATGTGAAAAAATCCGTATCTCTGAAGTGTCTAAAGCGAAAAAGCTGATATTTTTCCTGTAATATTAAAAAATAAAACGATGTTTCTAACTAGCATCGTTTTTGAAAAATTATCAAAAATCTACCTAAAGCAAACTTAGTTTTGTGGTCCAATTTTTAAACATAATTATAGCCAAAAATAAGAAATTACAAATTATAGTATAAATAATAATAACTATTAGGCGTCTATGTCATATGGAAAATACAATAGAGGTCACTTTTATGTACTCATGTACGGAACACTCGGCGCGTAAATTCAACTCTCTCTTGACTGGTTCTTTTTAATGATGAAATTGAAATTATAGCTTAATTAATGCTGTTGATTTATATTACTAGGATACCAGTAATAGATGATAGGTGAAACTCATTAATATTATTCATGAATCTCTATTGTCCCTAAGAAGCATGATATAATTAAAATTAAATCAGAGATTTTAACACATATGTACTAAGTAAATACTCGTACGTATTTACGTGGTATTCTACTCTTTGGAGTAAGTTACTTAATTTCATAGACTTCGTCTGTGTAAACGGGACATATTTATTTTATTTATTTTACACTTTATTGCACCAAGTAAAAAGAAAAATAACAAATACAGTAAATATTAATGAGAAGTGATATAAAAGGCGGCAGGCGGCTAATCAATCTCGTCCATACAACCTTTAGGTAAAGACATACTGACTGACTAAGATAAAAATGTTCTGTCTTTTTCATAGTTAGGGATATTATATATATAGGGAGGTTAGCCTCCATTGCTATTAATATACCCTATCAGGTTGAACTGACTTGTTTTTTGACTCGTTTTCTCCCCTTATCACCCCTCACTGGTGCTCTGCCAACTTAAACTGTTAGCACAAGCATGATTATTACCATTCCATTATCATCCATAAAAAAAAACTTCATGACATTAATAATAAATAATTTAAATAATAACAAAATATTACGTAAAATAAATTGTCGAAATTCTACACGTGAATCACAATTGTAAACAAATCATCAAGCATCACCTGTATATACACACACACTTGAAATTAATAAAACTACGTAAATTAAACTCAATCTACTAATACTATTAAACAATTTGAAACAACCAAATATTCACTAATATGCGATGTATCCTGTAAGTGCGATGTATCCTATAAGCAACGCACATTTTTTTTAATGGGTGATAATAGAATGGTAACCCCACCCGCGTTATCGGTATACACCGGCGGGGCACCAGTGAAGGATGATAGGTGAGGATGAAGTAGGTCAGTTAGCCCATCGTGATGAATTCAACAAGAATTGCTCACGATGGTTTCCAGGGGGAAACACGTGGAGGTCGACCTAATGGGGCATATTGCTAGCAATGGGGATGTCAAACTCCCTTGCTAACTATCCCTTTCCCCCCAGCAACGCACATTAGGCTCCGATTTAAAAGAACTTGAGTTTTATTTAAAAAAAAAATCTTCTTGACGTTGAATACGTCACAATGGGCTAATTGACCTACTGCCATCCTCACATATCATCTATCACTGGTGCCTCGCTTGTGTATATCAATAGCGCAGGCGGGGCTATCATTCCATCATCACCCTTTAAAAATACACTTCACGACGGTTAAGAGGAAGGAAAGAGGTAAATAAACAGACATTTACATTTATTATAATTATATATTACACAAATTAACAGTAGGTACATAAAATACATGCCCAATTTTGGATACGTAAATCTATTATGTGATACGAATGACCGGGCCGGTCACGTTTTCTACAACGTGAATATGCGCGGGCGTCGCCTGACTGGAGGTCAACTCGCAAGTCAGCAAGGATCTTCCGTTTAAAAACATTACACTGTTGTAATAGTAATTTAATACTTGAATACCGTATTTGAAGTGGAGCAGTCACAAACATAGTCGAATGTTATCTTATTTCTATAATAAGACCTATATTATAAATACTTATTGCACATACATATATACATATTGTTTTATCTACTTACTTGTCTAACATACTGGGTACATAATTGATAAATAATTTTGTGTGTGAAACTTACAACCTACTCGCTCTCAAACCTAAAGACATTCTTGTTTCTTAAAAATATAAAGTAAATTTACATAAGTATAAACAAAGTTAAATTAACTCATTTAAGTAACTTTTAATTTTATTTTTTTACTAGCCGTATTGTTTGCAAGAACTAGGATATAAGTTACCAATCCTACGTATAGTCTTGAATAATATCTATGGTCAGTCCAAGTAAGTAGATCCAGATTCAAGTTCTACAGTAAACTAAACATGTTTATGTGTAAATCATTCTAACATCTTTACCAATCCTCACATTTATTACAATACACATATACGATTTCTTATCAAAAAACGCATATGAAATTCTACACAATTATTTATTACAATAGTTACTTACTACACCATGTCAAATTTCAAAAAATTTTACTAAGTAACTAGTTATCTCGTCATATTTGCACAGACTCATTGACAACATACTTTAATATGAGTATTTATCACGTGTAGTAAACAATAATATTAGATTATTTTAAGGCAAAATTACAGTAGACACACGCAATGCAATAAATAAACAACTCGTATCGCGTTTTATCAAATCATATTATTTTTTGACGTACTTATGTACTGTAAATTGGAGATAACTAGGTTGATATATAGGTAGTAATAATGTTGTACAATATACGTAATACTATACAGGTTGAAACAATATGGGTTGCATCTATTTTTAACCGATTTAAAAAAACAGAAAGTTCTCAATTTGGTTGTATTTTTAAATTTTGTTTGTTACCTCAAAACACCGTAATTTTTAAACTGATTAATTTTTTTTTTTAGTCTGAAAGGATACGCTTGCGGATTGATTTCACATAATTTTCATCAAAATTGGTTTAGTTGTTTGGTTTTTAGATCAAAATAATTGGTATTACCACGACTGAAGTCGGTGTTTTTTATGAAAAAGCTACTCGTTTCAAACTTTTACTCTTTTATCAGAAAATGAACATTTTTTAGAAAGAAAAAAACTATCAGAAATTCCGTACTAAACATTTTGAGCATGTTTCCAAACTAACTTGGCAGAAAGACTCGCTGCTTAGAATGGCAAACAAGCTGACGGCCCACCTGATGGAAAGTGGTTACCGTCACCTATAGACATGAGCAGTATCATGGACATAACAGAGTGTACTGTTTCGCCCATAATACCCTCCATGCGTTGCCATTTCTAAGGACTCAGGTGTTATTCCTCTGTACCCTGTAAATATACACGTGTCATGATTAAACCTCAAATTTCGTAGCTTTAGTTTCCCGATATATATTTTAGAAAATTATTTATGTTTTTAATGAATTTTTTATGTGTCTTAAAATGGCAAAGAAGTCGACGGCTTCTCTGATGGAAAGTGGTAACCGTAGCTTATAGATATGAACAA